GGGGGGGGGGGAGGGGGCGGTGGGGGAGGGGGAGGTGGAGGAGGAGGAGGAGGAGGAGAAGGAGGAGGAGGAGGAGGAGGAGGGATTAGGCAATATTATGATTATGATGACTTATGGTGGAGTACGAGGAGGAGGAGGAGGAGGAGGAGGAGGAGGAGGAGGAGGAGGAGGAGGCACTATTATGACGATGTATCGTGGAGGACGAGCAAGTGGCAGAGGAAGACAAGGAGGAGGAGGAAGAGGAGAAAGAGGAGGAAAAGGATGATTAGGCACTATCATGATGATGGCAGTGGCAATGATCAAGGGCATATACTCTTATACTCTTATAGACTTATAGTCTTATACTATATACCCTCCTGCTGCTGCTGGAATGGTGCACACCCACTACTTAACTAGAACTACTTCTGTTTATAAACAGGTCAGACTTCTGACAAGGGGAAGCAGGACTTGAAGGTTGGAGGTTGGAGCATAAGCGGTTAACAGGGACCCCCACTTTTCAGCACCCCTGTTAATAATCCCCTCAACCCTGAAAACTGCATTGGAGGTCTTTTTGTGTTTGGAGGTGATCAAATTGGTCCCTTCAAAAAAAAGAAGGAAAAAATGTGGACTTGTGCAGCGGCCAACTCTTGACTCTGCTGACTTGATTACAGGTTTAAGGACTTTCTATTCAATGTGACAGCCAGCGACTACCAGGAGCTATACAATGAAGTCAAGTCAACGAGGTGCGAATCTCTCTTTGTTTTTTTTTTTGTTTTTTTTTTGGCATTAAAAATCAACAGAGAGCTTGTCCTCTCAGTGTAGCCATGATTCCGAACTTCAACCTCCTTTTGGTTCATCTGAGTTCGTTCATAAATTCAAAATTTCAGTAATTTCCTAATGTAGTAATTTACTAATTTATTTTTCATAATTTTTTGAAATTTCATTAACTAAAGTGTAATTTGAATTCATTTCAGCATTTGCATTAATACGAAAATCCGTTTTCTTTCGTTTTACGTTTGAGTTTTGAGGTAACCCTTGGCAAAAAGATGACCATATAGCAATCTTTTTTTTTTTTTTTTTTTTTTTTTTTTTTGTAGAGAGGGGAGTTTGGGGGGGCAATATATATCAAATACCCACAGAATACTTGAAAATAGGAGAAAATAGTAAAATATATATTTTTTGGTGGTGGCATTAGGGGCACCGGAGGGGCGAAGAGGGGTTTTGCATCTTTCGTATGAACATATTGAGAAGAATGGTTTTGCGTGTGCGCTGAGGTCCAACTAATTTTCCGTTTACGAGAAAAAGAACACCAGACGAAGAGAAATTTCCATTTAAAAAAAAAAAAAAAAAAAAAACATATAAAAAAAAGAGCTTTTTTTAAAAACAGACCCAAGTCATTCAACTGGTCGTAGTGTCTCCAACCGCCACTACCTTTCCCGTACATCGGCTGCGGCTGATGCCCCACAAGTTTTCGGAGGCCGGGGCTAGGTCCCACTTACACGAATTAAGCGATATTGACCGTAGATTGAAAAGATCAACGGCCAGATTCTCATAATCCGTGCAAGTGGGACCTTGCCCCCGGTAACACAACGAAGCCGGCCGATGAAACCGCCGCCCAACGGCGGCCCGGCCCCAGAAAAATGCACTATATAGGTTATATTCCCACTTGGGACTACAGCCTGGAAGGTATTGGTGGCTTAAACCACTTGTACCTTCGCACCTATTTTCGACAAGTACTGGTCTACCTCCGAACTTTCAGGAGGCCGAGCCCGCCGTTGATAAATCCGATCGGCGGTCGTCGTTTCGTTTCGGCCTCCTGAAAGGTCGGAGGCCGAGTATTTTCGAACCGACAAACTTTAAGGTATTGGTGGCTTAAAAAGAAGGAAAAAACAGTGGTTGTAGTGCTGCACACTTCTCTTGCAGCTCAAGATGAGATGTGCCAAAGAATAACGAGGAGAAGGAGAGATCCACAGGCGCACAGAGGCGTGGACTGATAACATGGCCGTTTTTAATCATCAAATTGACCAATTTCAAC